CGAGAGTCGGTTGTAAAGCTGAAGTGGTTACTGTGGCTAATGCGCAACGAGTGAGTCACAGCGAAGATCCCGCCCAAAAGAATACGTCATCAGACATCACACAGGGGCACTCCGCTTCTCAACAGAGGCACGCAGCCAACACGCTATTGATTTCGTACCCACAATACAGGGCACGTAGCAGTGCGTTATGACTCCTTTTTAGCAGAAGTCAGCTACGAACTCGTCTCAAAGCTTTCAGCGAGGGATATAAAGCATACTCCCGTGCGTAACTCCACCTAACGCATTTTACGATGCAACCATAATGTATTGCGTGATATGGGGCAAACAGAAAGAAATTCAGATGCAACAAACATCCACATATTGCTGAGTGGGAGTAGACAAATTCGCTGCCCTCAGAACCCCGGCTAAGTGCCAGTTCGCCATATGGAGTGGAACAAACTATCTCCCGGATAAAGCCCATGCGTCATGCCCTCAGTCTCAAGGAAAATGGTTTTCCAGATAGGCGGTTGGTTGATCCCGCGGATAAAAGGCGTGCAACGATGACGAATTGCATCCATTTCTAGTCTGGAATTCGAAACTGGAACGCAGCATGCACATACAGGCAATCAGCCGGCACGCAGAGCCTAGGAGGACGCCTTATACTCTTCCCATACGGTGATGACAACACGAGACACGGTGTAATCAGAGCGGCACTCCGCGACAGTCACATCGCCCAGAGCGCAGTGTTCAGACGGGCCGCCGCTCCACGCGGCGTCGAGAGGGGCTGTCCTGGCGGCCCCTGACGTCACGCCTCAGCCGGCACGGGGGGGGGGGGGGGCGGTCCAACTGGGGTATGGAGGTCCGGCCGTGGCGGGTGACGGTTGCAACCACACGGTCCGGCCCGCTGCCCCGGCCTTGTGAGCGCCAGTGACGGTGGGCCGGCGCCAGGTAACAGCGGACAAAACGATGACGACGTAATCCACCCCGACCCTGCTCCAGAACAGGAACGTGACGCACGGCTCGGATGCTAAGACTTGCAGGATAAAGTGACGCGCAGGAATGGCCCAACTGTGCATTGCGAGGGCCAAGATACGATTTACGGCCATCGAGAGAAAGGCAAATGGCTTGCACCGTCGGCACCACGATAGCTAATTTCCTCATGCACAGTAAACACTACTTCAGCAGTCCAGGCCTCCGCGGTGGTCTCTCACGCATGAACACCTCCACGAATGAGCTTTGTGGAATGACCTTCCGGTTTTGCGCGCTTGCACACGCATGAGCGCAAGCGCGGACCTCCCATGCGCGGCCCGCGCTACCCGTCAAAAAAGCTACAGACTGACGGCCGCGCTACCGTAAATAACTCGAAAGGCGAGCTAATGACAGCCCCAGAGCGGCAAGCCACAGTCCGGCCTCTCAAGCGGACATTGCCCACCGCACTGGACCGGCACGCGGCCGGTGCACGACAGATAAGTATACGTAGTCACTTCGTGATGGTGCTGTTTGTCCCGCCGCTAGCCATCATACACAAGCATGCGGAAACGGCACATCAGCCCGTGCAGTAGCTCTACGTGATTGCGCAATAGAAAGGCTCAGTGACCGCTGTTATCACTCGGAATTTACCTTGATATTACGTGTGATCAAAGATGCCTATATCCTTTTGTGTAAGCATGTGTGCTGGTGCGCGCAGATGTACCTTTGTATGTCCGTAAAATGATTTGCATCTCAGCAGGCATGCCTAGTCAGACAGTTCAGTTGAGAAGCACCGAGCAAAAAAGCAACGCGTTTAATCGAAAAGTAGAATCTTAAAGGGAGCGTGCCATATTTGTGTGGGATTTTGAACTGCGACAGCCACTGTTAAGCCCATCCAGTGCAGTTCAAAGCCCTGACCTTTTTAAGGTTTAAAATCCTTTGGTTTCTGAGCTTGACGCCCGTGAATTCGTGCAGACTTTTTCGTGCAGACTACTTAAAGGTTACCCAAACATGTGGGATGCCATAGAGACGTCACACGAATCCTATCATCGCATTGGCCATGAACGTTCAAGGCCACGACAAATATTACCATCTTCCAGATGGTATCATTGTATTGATCGTGTCCAGTGTAAGTCAGTTCAATTCCTAGCATCAACGGACTACAATTGGTACTCGACCAAGGAGGCAGGTTTGTTGCACGTTTCGAGCATGATTTAAGTTTTTTTGCTATATCACACGAGACGTCGACGTTGACACATGTGATGACGGAAATAAACTGGGAATCGAATAACTTAAGGATAGCGCCACAAATGTGTATGTGAATGCAAGTAAACAATATAAAATGACGGATTAATATGCAATACCACCACGAACAAGGGTTAAAACAGGCACACATAACGATATTAAGAATCTGGAAACGATGCACCGTTTATCATGACACCTCTCGAAAAGTTGAAGTACTTCAAGTAAGCCAGCCTGACCGTTATGATGGTAATTTCGCATGGCCAGTTTGGAAATCTTTCTGACGTCACACAACCGTTTCATAACGCAATCAAACGTTGCCACATTCAGCAGCGTGTTAACTAAATGGTGAACATTGGTTGCCTAGAGCAGCCTTTTGCACATCAAAGCGTACCAATAGTGATGAGTGAGCTCATTTCATCATACCTGACGCTTGCCTGAGCATCTTACAATGTGGAACATTCCCTCTAAGTCCCCTCTAAGTTATAATTGCAGGCATTCGTCGCTCATTATTGCGTCATCTCCACGCATTAAAGTTATACATGACGTCACTAAGGGCACACGGTGTCTTGCCGCAGACACTATACACCTTTTCCACCAACATCTATCAGAAGTGTTAAAAATATCTTCAGCGACCAGTAACCTGGATATCGGCCCCTTTCAGGTCTAAGAAAATCCCCAGCACCCACATTCTGGTCAATCACATGCGATTAGCGTTACCAATATAGCTTCAAAGAAGAGGAGAAAGAGACAGCGGCATGAAAAGGAAAGAAAGGGAGGGGAGAGAAACGCAGTGGGACGGAAGGACAGAGTCAAGGGAGCACGAAAGCACCGCGGCACATAAGATTATGGGCTCAAAGGCGCAACCGAACAGCGAGAGAAAGGGTGAGAAGGAACGAGAGGGAGAGGGCGAGGGAGAGAGAGGGAGATGAGAAGAAGAACACGGAAAGTTAGCGGTGAAAATGGAGCAGGTCCGGGGCCGTGTCGCGTCCGTCGACAGCAGCCGTACCGGTGCCGGTGGTCAGGTTTCCCGACCGCAGGCTCGATAGGGATGCCAATCTACGCGGGGCCCGGCACGTGGCTGCCCGCCCACAGACAGGTGACTGCCGGGCCCACACACCATATGTCGGCTGATTACGCCTCATGTTCCGTGCAGTGGTTCCGTGGTTTTGACAAGCATTGTCGGGCGCCCCAAAGGTTTTTAGACATTGAGGCGCATCACGTGCTCCAAGCGGACAGACGCGTGACGCCTCCGCGGCCGTGACGCCTCTAGTTCAACCAGCACACACACAGATGGGGTGACGACGAACCGTGGTGGGCACACACTCATTTGGACCTTCGAGCCCCCGTCTGACGCTGCTGTCGAGCATGTCACCCTCCCACGGCGCTGCAGAGGCGCCGCAGGAGCACTCCACCCTCCCACAGCGCTGCAAAGGCACCACAGGAAACTCCACCCTCCCCCTGCGCTGTGGAGGCGCCACTGGAACACTTCACCCTCTACAGCACCGCAGAGGTGCCAATGGAACACTCCACACCACGCCAATCTCATCACGCGGGCCACTCCGGCCGGCTCTTGACGCCATCCCGGAGAGCCGCCCGTCCTCGGAAAAGCCATCTCAGACTGCCCGCGTTTGACTGGATTCGGATAATCCGTGCGCAACGCATCTAAAGGGCAGAGATGCGCGACGAACAAGATTTCAACTAAAAACGTCTCTGCAAACGCTACAAGAGTTTGTGAACTACAGAGCATTAGTGGACACGGGTTCACAAAGTGATGTCAGCCGGACGTCACTCGGCCCCGAGATAGCTCTTGTGTCGCGATCTGGAAGGCTGGAAATACTTACAATGTTTCCAGAGGTAGAATCGCGACGCATTATCGCCAACCACCTATAAGAGGCTCAGCTTTGGGGGAATGTTCCATATTTGAAGACATTGAGGCGGTGCACAATCAACGGCAGTGTTCTGAAAGCTGGCGCTCTGAAAGCCTACACGAAAGCACAGCATAGCCATTCCCCGACTGCCGTTCCACCGAACATCTGCGTCCGCGTCAGCCAACATGCACCAGAATAGATATCTCATCGCAAGTCCTATAATCTCCTCATAAAACAGTCACGGCGCAAACGCTGTTGGAAATGGCGTGCGGCGCCGCGGGCCGAGATCGAAAACGAAGGCGCTGCATAACATCCAAATATAGACCGGACCAAGTGGCAGCCATGAGCCTGGGCCGATCGGCAATCGCAACTGCACCCCGGTCACCGTGAACATGTAAATACGGCCTGATGTCAGCTGTCGATCTGCCAACAGCACCAAAGAGCCCAGAACTCCAGCGCCCGGGGCAAGAAATGCAGTCTGAAAGAGCTCCGGCCACACATAAAGCCCGCAGGTCTTCACTGAAGCCAGCCCCGCGCAGGTCGGACTCAATGGCGTGACATTTCGATAGCATGTGATATGTACTGAGCGAGGGGCGAATGTATGAGAGTGGAAAATGGGAATGCGGCTCGTCGGGAGCATGTCAGATCGCCACATCGTCCCGCCGGCAGCCGGGCGGGCCACAAGACCGAGCCGGTCACGTCAACGGATAGGTCATAGGACCGACAGGACAGCAGCGGCACAGATCACGTGCATGTCGGGTCAGCGCGGCCAGCCGGCAGCGTGACGGGTCGGAGGCCCAAAGTGCGGCAGGTCAACAGCGCACCGATGGCGTGGCGCCGGCATCTGTCCGCCGCACGTTGAGGCGCGCGCCCGCGCCGCCCGGCGTAAGGCTACGGAGCTGAGTCGGCTCCGGCACCCGGCGCTACGGCCGAACCCACCTTGCTGTACTGGCCGACGACGTATTTGAGGATGTTGGGTGGAGCCTCATGCAGCAGCGGGTCCAGCGCCGGCATGTAGACGCACATCTGCAGCACCGACTTGAGCGTGCGGCGCGCCTTGTCCTGCAGGTCGTCACTGCTGTCCGAGCTGGTGTAGCACTGGCGGCCGGACGGGGCGCGACCGTCAGCTCTCCGAGAGGGGGTACTGGGGAGGGGCTTGGGACAGGGTCCAGGAGAAGCGACATCAGGGAGAGGATCCCGTGGCGAAGATCTCAGAGAGGGAGTTCTGGGAGTGGCCTCTGGGGAAGGGCCTCAGGGAGGATCTGAAGGAGAATGTCTGGGGGAGGTGTTCCCGGCGGTGGTCTCGTGAGATCGGGCTCTCAAGGCAAACATCTTGAAGAAAGGATCTCACGGCAGTCTTGGAGAAGGTCCCATGGTCTTGGGTCTGAGGGAGAGGACTCAACGAGAAGGTCTCAGAGGCAGATAGAGGGTCTAAGGGCCCGGTCGCCCCAGCGTGTGTCTGCGGAGAGACTAGCAAAATCGATCAGGGTCAGAATAACTTAGAAACAATCGGATCAAACAGCCTACTCCGGCAGTCAAGCAGAAGCCTGCACCTGCCATGTTTTTCCCCGTGGACGTTTAGGTGGGTACACTATCCAAGTCATGACTACGTAGGTTAGATTCGCAGCCCGGGCCCATGAAAACGACATAACTGAGTGAAACAAAGCGCTAGACGCTGGGCTGCGGCGGACAGGGTGAGCGTACAAACAAGCCACCCACTCTCAGATCGATGCAAATCAATAACACACGTAATACACTGGGCTGAATGTAGTAGAATTGGAGTGTTGGAGCTTGCGGGTGCTTTTATTGCACGATGCATTCCGTTAAAAGCGTGCTAACGGTCGCCTGGCTGTAAATGGCACAACGGGCGGGTCCATTATGTAACGGGTGGATCCATTATATAATGGGCGGGCCCATTATACATTACTCCGTCACGAAATGACCCGAGCATTGTCTTCGCAGATACTCAACAGCATGCGCAGCAGGTCCGTCTCGCCGGCCGCGGGGACCTCCGTGTCTCGAGACTGAGGATTCAAAGTATTTTGATGTGAGAACCACTAAACAACACGACTCAATAGTGCTTTAATTCCTAATCCAGGAATGCTGTGAGATCTTAGCATTCGGATTCCGATTCGGGATTTTAATATTATTGAACCATTACTTAGAAATCTCGAGCTCTTACGATGCCATGCAAAATTTGCACAAGCGATTCGGTCCGATGGAAAACTAAACCTTCGCATTTAGTTTATGTGAAGAAAATGTCAGTCCTGCCTATCTAAATAATGACTGTTAGGATTGAGTAATGTTTTTGAAACCCGTACCCCGAATTTCAGGGTTCAAATTATGAACTCGGATGTACTGAAGCATATTCTAACCATGAAGTTCGAATTCACTGATCCACAACGTACCCAACACAGAGGCCTTTTCGGGATAAACCTTTGAAACACTTCAAGCAAGACGCGAGACTAACAATCTCCGAGTCGCAACATTACTGCACACTCGGTGGAAGTTTGGGAGCCGTGTCGCTGATACGGCCTTGGTGGCGACTCCTCGCCTTCAGTGATGTCGGCTGTGTTTGGCGCTCAGGCGTTTGATAACGAACATTCGCAGTCGCACGTTCACTTTAAAGCCCGTCCTCTATTCATTCACTTGATTTTATTCCATGTGCGATGATCCCACACCACAAAACGCGATTAGGTTAGGCCACCTAGCTTCACGTTAGTTCCAACTTGTCAAATTAAGTTGTCGTCCGAAGCACATCGTTTGACCCCTGCGACTGTTCTGACACATTAGCCGATATCTGCCGCAACGTTGTCATCCTATGTCGTTTTGCACCGTGCTGGTGCTAACGTCAATCTGGAGATAACGGGCCTGTGCAAACAATGCATATGACCTAACATGTGATGTGACAGGGCACACTCGTCGGCGGCGCGTCAGTAGGTTGCCATGCTTAGCGCAACAGCCACACCATCCCTTAACCCCCCCCCCCCCCCTCTCCTCCCCCGTCATAGCGCACATCGTTCTAAAACCGTCCGCAGAGAAGCGCTATCAGTAACATTGTGCAGTGTTTCTTGTTAATCGATTTACGAAGCCCGTGAAGAACTCTACAAAAAGCGTTAACACACGCCCGGGTGGCCGGTTAGATACCCTTCGCTCGGGTGTGGGGGGGGGTCAATTTGACCCCCTGAGATCTCGGGAGCTTAGAAAGCTAGACACCAAATTTTCAGGGTGTCTTGACCTGTACATACACTCACTTAGGTCAAAGTATGAGCTTCCTGGATCATGACCTTCAGGTCAAATAAGGTCAGACAAGTTAAAATTCCAGGTCGGTCTCCACAGTGCCACAGACCCTACGCAACTGTTTCCAAGCAAGAGGTCACAAGCCCATTTGAGGTCAGTGACCTTGTTTGACTTTTGCGTTTGAATAAGCGACAACGATTACGCCAGACAGTATGTTCCTAAAACAAAATGTCAACCCGGGCCATCTTACGTCGATGACCTTTTCTGACTTCTAAGAAGTCAATGGAAGATGTATAATGCGTTTCCTGCTGTCAATAAACTCGAAATGAGCACCACAAACTATCTCATACAGCAAACCCTAGAGTAATAAATCAGGTTAGCTGTGACCCTGGTCTCACCTTCATACCTGACCTTGGGTCAACGTAATTTGCTCATTCAATACTTGTGGTGCCTAAGAAAGCATCTCAGAGATGTACGGCTTCGTCAAACACTCCGCTGCTGTATCATATTTGACGATTCCCTAGAAATTGCCTTCGCTGAAACCATGGCCTGACTTTGATCTGCCACAGGTAAGCGGCCTCACAACGTACATCTAATTTTTTATGTGAAACGATCTGCTATTCAATTTTCTACAGTTTTGCACAATTTGGCGCGGCTACGCCGCGTCGTTTGGAAACCATTCCGGAAAAACCTTCGGGGGGTCAATTTGATCCCCTCCCCAACCGAGCGCGTGTTAAGACTCGAGCCATGCTAACTTACGATTCGTACTAACAGCAAAATGCGAAGTGACCTATTTCGAGATATTATGGCTCGAGGTGATCCACGTACCCGACACATTCTAGGGTTGGTAATTTCCATGTATAACGGCCTCTCAAGACGCCCGGATCCAGAACAAAAAACTGGACGCGGGCCAAAATAATCAAGCGGGCTAAATCCAATGCTCACCCCCGTTCACCGGGACTTGCGCGAGCTATCCGATGCCGTGTTGTACCTGTTATTGCATTGCCAGCCCTCGGGGCAGAAGGGGGGAGGGGACTATGACCACTTGTCGGTCAATGGTGACAAAAACAGGAAGGCCGCCTAATGCACAGCTAAACAGGGGCGTAGTTTTACCAAATGACCTGGGGGGGGGGGGGGGGAGAGGGGGAGCAAACAGTTAACAATTACCCAGCTTGCCGCAAAAATATGCCATCAAACAGTTTTCTCCCCAATTTGGCCTATTGTTCACAAAGTTCGGGGGCTGGAGCCAAAGTTGGGGGGTTGAAGCCCCCTCAGCTGAATAGGAAACTGCACCCCTGCTGCCAGACAAACGTCGCAATGCATCAGCAAATGTGAACACTCCTGCAATAGCGACCCAGCGATGGAACGGCTGTCGAGGGACAGATCAGCAGCACCCTCCGCTCTATCCTGAATTCAGGTCGAACACAACACGCTACACACTTGAGAGCTGGGGCAACCGTTCTCGCCAACGCAAGGGTACACTTTCGGGTGCGTCAGGGGCATGTGGGGGGCCGATCAGGAGGCAGGGGCAGCTACCCCAGCCTTATACAACATACACACATTGTTCAGTTATCGCACATTGCCACGATGCTGTATGGAATGAGCCAGGCAGTAAACTTGTCTATTCCTCCTTCCTTCACAGTTTTCCGGAAGTTCCGCCGCCGGTGCAGACGTATGACGTTCAGCCGAAAATAATGTAGCTTCAAGGACAACAGCTCATGGCTCTCCGTTTGCAAGCCACAATTTTAAACTAAGTAGCATTTAACGAATGATTTTTTTATCAAATCATGACCTCGCCCTCCAATGTCTGCTAGGGCGATGTCAAAATCGTTGAACGCCACAATGTCTGGCAGTGTCATGTATTTCTGCCCTGACATCGATTATTAATGCGCTTATCAGTTATTCCTACCCACGCCAAATCGTATGACAACTTCAAGCCATTCCAGGCCAAGGACACAGTAGGTTAAATAATGGCGATGACGTCACGTAATTCCAAGAAGCCCCAACCTCTGTATAAGTGACTAGTATGCATCGATTGGCGGAACGCTTCTGTGATAAAGGGTGCAACATTGAGGCTTCTACAGAAAATATTTCCTGTAACCGATACATCCGTCACCCATGGGCCTCTTCCCATGCAAAACCGCTTTCAATTCGATTGAGTTGCATACACCCTTTATCCCCTCCTTTGCACCTATCCAGAACTTCAGTTACAAACAAATGAAAGCCTCCGGAAAGCTTCAGCCCAATCTCCCTCTTTTGTGTTGATAACTGCAAGCGCACTGTGAATGGGACCAGTAATACCTAAAAGAAACTCAAGCAGGATCACTGTACCGTGTTTCTGAAGCATGTACTCAACAAACCGTCAACGCCATTTCGTACGCAAACGCAGCGTTCCTGTACGCATGCTCGTAATTTTCCCAAATATGCTCACAAGCCAACCCATTGCACATCTTCATGTGTCCGATGGGTTTACCTAGACCGTGAAGTGGCCAGTGCGATACCTGAAACATAACTGCTATGCCATTCGGAAGCCGAGTGTGTCGAACCCCAGACTGATTTGAATGACACGGCAAGCAGGGAAGACAGCGTGTCGAAACCCAGACTGATTGGAATGATCTGGCAAGCAGGGGGCGACATGATTGCTCGCGATCATTCAACCCCACCAATCTATTTTTGTCTGCTCCATTTTCCAAGAGTGATATTCCCAACGCGTTGATCCGCTCTCTAATTAATCATCTGCCACCAGCTGTGGTGACGTTTTAAAGCGACCTCACGCAGCGCTAGAAGTATGCGCCTCACTTGGTTTTCGCCTGTGGGCCGGCTATTAGTCATGGGGAGGAGCAGCATGGTGATCTGTT